CGGTACTAACCTGTGAAGTTGGCGCCTTGATGCAGGTACCTTGAAGATGAAGCTGGAGTTAGGGCGCCACAGGTAAGTCTCTCTGGCCTCCGCCAACCATCTCTCTCTCCAACACTACTCTACTCCTACCAGCGCCCAGCGCTGAAGACTACCACTACAGCTACTAGCGCCCAGCGCTGAAGACTACCGCTAGCGCTAAAGCTACTCCTGCAACACTCCTCCAGAGTGCCGCTGCCGAATCCTGAAGACTACTCCTGCCTTCTGCCTACCGTGAAGTGCATGGAAACTCCCTATGTACTACCTCGGCCTGCCTCCTGACTGCCTGCAGTTGCAGGGCGGGGCAGTCTAGGAGGTTGCTCTTGTCAATGCCAAAACGAGCCAGGGCCTGGCGCTGCAGCTCCTGCTGAGGCTGTCGTGGGAACAGGCCAAAAATAGCCTGTTCCTAAAACCCTGGTTTGGTGCCTGAATGTCAGGGCAGGTCGATCTTATGAGGGTCCGAAAGTGGCCCTCCGTTTCAGGCTGAAAAGACTCAGGGCCTGGACGGCCCTGTTTTAGGCTGAAACGACATAGGGCATGCAGGCCCTCGTTTTCAGGCTTTCAGGCTGAAACGACACAGGGCCTGTAAGCCCTTGTTTTCAGGCTTTTAGGCTGCGGACGCTGGTCGGGCCCTGCAGGCCCGTGTGGCTGCGCAGTATGCCACACCCCCCCCTCCTTGAAAGACCGAGCTTACCTGCGAGGGCGAAGCTGTCTGTCGGAGGGAGGGACCACAGTCCGGGTGGGAGAGGCAGGTCGTGACGTTCCCTCAGCTAACCTTTGTCGCTCGTAGTGAGTGTAGATCAGCGGTGCGGATGTTTTCAAATCTGCTCCTGAAATCGATCGAGTGTCGTCGGGATCGCATGCTTTGAATGTAACCTTGTATTGTCGAGGCTTGCTGCCATACTTGGGATCCGTGATGACGCGGGTCAACTTCCTGATGACCATCCAAAGATGGAGGATCTTGCGATCTTCAGCCTGGGAAGTCGTCGCTCTTGGGTGGTGTATATGTTGCCAGCTTTGAGGCATGAAAGACTGGATGAACCGTCAGATGCGGGGGGATGTTGATCACAAATGAGGGGCCATCGGGCTCATCGCCCACAGTTGATGTTACGGGCCATGGTCCAAACCATTTGGGAAGCAGTTTGCGTGAAACATCCTGCTCGAGTGCAAACTCTTCCGCGGAGACCCACACCAGATCACCGGCACGGATGGGACATGGCATGCGACATCTGTTGGCTTGTTGTTGCATGCGGACTTGAGCCTTTTGCATGTTCGCGCGAGCTTGAGCCAACAATTCCCTGTACTTCCGGACGGAAGCGGGGGAGCAAGCAGCGTCTATGTCGGCTGTTCATGGGAGGAGAAGATCAGTGAAGATACGGCCTTTCCGGCCACCATGGTGCAACTCGAATGGAGTCACGCCGATCGCCAGATGAAAACGAAGTGTTGTAGGCGAACTCAATGTTGGGGAGGCGGTCAACCCAATCCTTCTGATCCGGACGGATGAGCGTACGAAGCATCATTTGAGCGGTTTGATGTGCCCGCTCCGTTTGCCCATCAGTTTGTGGATGCCGAGCCGAACTTGGTTTCATCTTCGTGCCGGATTCCTGCATGAGAGAAGTCCAAAATGCCGACATGAAGCGAGTGTCGCGGTCGCTGACGATGTCTTTCGGTACGCCGTGGCTGTAAAAGGCGCGCAAGTTCGGGAGCCGTGGCGTAGTACTTCCAAGGAAGAAATTGCGCATACTTACTCAAACAGTCAACGACCGTGAGGATGCCGTCGTGCCCGAGGCGGTCACGTGGAAACGGACCGGTGACGTCCATGGCAATGGAGAGGCCCGGTTCCCGTGGGATAGGCATCGGGCGCAACTGGCCATAGGGATTGCGGTTGCGGGGCTTGCTTCGTCGGCAAACTTCGCAAGAGTCGCAATACCGAGTGACATCGGTAATGAGGTCGGGCCATCGGAATCGTTGTCGAAGTCGTGCAATAGTGCGATTGACTCCGAAATGGCCGGCGAGTCGCGAGTCATGGTACTCACCGAGAAGGCGAGTCTGAAGACGACGGTCGTGTGGGACACACAATAAGTCCTTGCCTCGCAAGTGGAGGAGAAAGTACCCGTCGACGATGCGATAGTGGCTGGCCGGCGGGTGATCCGAAGATAGTTGCGCATACAACATGGCGAAATCCGGGTCAGACTCATAGCCCCTGATGAAGTGTCGCTGGAGTTCCTCGTCGAATGCGAAGGCATGATGTGTCATGGCGCAAAGATCGGGTCTTCGCGAGAGTGCATCTGTTGCGCGATTGGAGAACCCGTCGAGATGTTTCGGTGTGAAGTCAAATTGGTTGATGAAGTACATCCATCGTCCGATCGTGCTGCTCACCGTATCCTGCGTCTTGTAGTTGGTCAATGGGTTGTTGTCCGTGACCCATGTGAACCTACGACGCCCAAGGAGGAAGTGCCGCCATCGCTTGAGAACCATCACGAACGCGAGCAGCTCCTTCCTTTCATCATCAAGTGAATTGATGGGAGGCACCTTGTGGCTGAAATACTCCACGGGGTGCTTGTCGTCGCCGTCGTGTTGTTCCAAGACTGCCCCAATGCCATAGCCGGAAGTGTCAGTTGTCACTCTCGTTGGCAGGGTGGGGTCGTAGATGCTAAGGATAGGTGACATGAGCATGGTCGTCTTGAGTGCTTGGAATGACCGGTCATCGAATACCAATGGCACCTTTGGCGATTGTAATTTCGTCATAGGTGCGACAATCCTTGAGTACCCAGTCATGAAGCGTTGATAGCAGCCATGAATGAGCGAACGGCTGTGGTGTTGGTGGGCTCGGGCCATACACGGACGGCCTCGATCTTGTCCGCAAGCGAACGGATGCCTTGCGGCGTCACATAATGTCCCAAGTACTCCAGCTCTTGCCTCGCGAATTCGCATTTGTCGCGGTTGGCTTTGTACTTGGCTTGTCGTAGCCGCTCCAAAACGGTGCGCAGGTGYTCCACATGCTCGTCCAAAATCCGGCTGTACACCAAGATGTCGTTGAGGTAGATGAGTACAAATCTATCCCGCATGTGTCGGAACTCCGTTGTCATAGTCGCTTGGAATGTGGTCGGGGCATTCGTAAGGCCAAAGGGCATAACCAGCCATTCGAAATGCCCATATCGCGTCTTAAACGCGGTCTTGTAGCGGTCCTCCTGCCAGATCTCAAGTTTGTGATATCCTGATTTAAGGTCAAGATTGGAGAAGAATTTGGCGCCGCCCAACCGTTCGAGGAGGTCGTCGATGCACGGAAGAGGGCCAGCGTTCTTGACGGTTTGCGCGTTGAGCTTGCGATAATCGATGCACAACCGCAAATCCTTGTTCTTCTTCCGGACGAAGAGAACAAGGGCACCGTATGGTGAAGAGCTAGGCCGAATCCAGCCTTTCTCGAGAAGGTCGCCGAGTTGTGCCCGTAGCACACTTAACTCTTCCTCGCTCATGCGGTAGATGCAACCACGCGGAGGTACGGCCCCGGCCTCGAGGATGATCTCGTGGTGGATGGGCCGATCTGGTACTACTCTGTGCGGTGCGTCGAACATGTCGCCGTAGGCGTCGAGAAGCTCGGTGATGCGTGGGTCCGGAGATGAGTCCGTCGATGGAATGTCCTGGGGCGGGAGGGCATGGAAAAAACACACCCCCATCTCCTCGATGTCATCCCTGATGATGGAAGCTCAAATGCTTGCGGCTGACACCACGTGGCAGTTGATCGAAGGGTAAGGAGGAGGCACCGTGCATGGGACTAGTACTCCGTTCCGATCATGAGCGTGAACGGTGCGGCGGTAGAAATTCACCGGGTGATCCTCGCTTCGCAGCCATGACATGCCCAAGATCACGTCGAACTTGGTGTCCAAAATATCGAAGGACACGGCCTCGCTTGCATGCTGGGCAAAGTACACGAGGACGACATCAATGCACCGGTCGATTGACTTGTGCGTATGACCGTCGGCCAATGTGACTTGCGTGGGCTGTGACTTCCTGTGAACACGTGGCCCCAGGCCAGCGCGTACCATAAAGTTTTGGCTCATGTAGTTGCGAGTGGCTCCGCAATCGACCAAAGCGATGCAGGTCGCCTCTCCGATCTGAATGTGTATGTATAACAATGGCACGTCGATGTCGTCGTACCGTTGTGTCTTGAACTCGTGGTCGATCTTCGCAACGTAGTCGTGAAGGTCGACAACCTCTACTCCAGCGTCCATCAACGGAGTTGGTACTGCAGTGTGCAAGTAATCATGCAATTGTGCCATGAGCACGTTGCAATGCGGTTTCGACAATCGACCGGACGGGGGAAGGGGCATCCATTGGAAGTCTGCAAATGTCAACAGGTCTAGCTCTTCAAGTCTTGACCATGACGTCGAATCCCCGACAGTAGATGGCGGCGAAGCTGCCGAATCGGTTGTCGATGGTGGTGAAACCTTGCATGCGGTGGATTGTTGCACATGGAGTGGTTGGTCCAACGGTGGGGCCAAATGGACAGCATAATCCTTGTAAGTGAACCGATGACTTGCGACATTCGCATCCTCCCCAGATGTGTAGGAGGCCGCTAGCAAGGCGGCCGAATCTGGAGGAGTGAGAGGTGGAGTCGCCTCACCTCCTGCGCAACTCAGTTTCCCGAGTTGATGCGAGGCCAAACATCCTCCTTGCCTTGATCCAGGCATTGGGAGGTCTTGTGCTTGGTGTTGTTGCACCAATAGCAGCAGCCATACCGGCCGCGCCACTTGTATTCAACCTCGGTCAAGTGAAACTTGACCCATGGTGTTGGCTGTCCGCTTTCGACCAGCGATGCGGTTTTCGCCTTCCCTTTTCCTCGGGAGTTGTTGTTGCTTCGCGGCTGGACAGCGGCCACCTGATCTCCCTCACGTGATGCTTGGGTGGCTGTCGGGTCTTCCACAATGTTGTCTGGTTGGACTGCAGCGACATGCTGCGAACGCGGACCAAATTTTCCTTTCTCCACATAGGTTGGCTGCCACGCTGACTTCTCGTGTGCAGCTGCCCTGTTGGTCTTGATGATCTCCCTTGCCTTGTCGATGATTTTGGCGAAGGTGGTGTATTGCTCGCGATCACCAAGTGCGAGGCTCAAGGCGGCACATGACCGGTTGTAGAACTTCCGACGCAGATGCGAAAATGGCAACTCGAGATCGGGCGTTACCGCGATCTTTTGCCATTTCGTGAGCCAGTAGCGTGTCAATATGTTGCCTTGGGTCATGGCGAAGAGGCAGTTGATGGAGAGTGTTGGGCGTCGTCCATGATGAACCGCTTCTTCCATAGCCTCGTCAACTCTTCCCAAGAGATCTTCTCATGTAGATCGGCGACCTGGACGCCGTGAATGGTTGCTAGGTGGCTGAGCCAGATCTGGCACCCGCCCTTTGAGTTGAGGAACAGCGCGCCGATGTACGATTGTTCAGGGACGAAAAGAATCCGAAGTTGCGTTGTAAAGCCTTCCCACCAGGGGACCGGGTCTTGATGCGTATAATCATCGAACTTCTCGATTTGGAATGTCGGCATCTTGTAGTGCTGCGCACTGGTGTTGCCATCCTTGTTGGGCCGCTGGTGCAGTTGCTGAACCTTGGTCTTCAAGGTGTCCAGCTGCTTGCTGATGGTGTCTCGTGCAGCGAAGGTGCTGATGTCGCCGAGCATTGAGACTACGTGGTCAACTCGCTCCTCCAATTGGCGGGTAGAGGGTGCACTACTGGACTCGTCAGCATCTGGTCTTGGTGCAGCTTGCTCCAAGTCCTGTACACGGGAATCAAGTGGTCGTGTAGCATCCTCGTGCAGATCCTTGTGGTTCCGCACCGCCCGTCGGAGATTCGCCAGCTCGGACTGCAGGTGGTTACAAGTGTAAACCAACCGGGTCACGAGTTTGGCCAGGAACTCCTTGTGCTCCTCTTCCGGTCGCGTCTTCGTGGTGCTCGGATGGTTCTTTTTCTTTCTTTCTTTTTTTTTTTTTGGGAAAAGTTCAGAACCTCATGGTTCTGGCTCCTGCCATTATGGGGAGCAATTAACAGAACCTCTCAGCTCTGGCTCCTGCCATTCTGGGGAGCAACAGTCCGGTTCCTATTCCCCCGGCAAGTCAAATATGGATACAATGAAGACACACACACACTCCTCCCCGTTATGGTTGAGAGGCGGTCCAAGTGGACGGCATTGATTACTTCCTTAGGGAAGAAGGTACCACCCCTCACCCCTGCCTAAGTTAGCCTATATTCTCTACCTTCTGATTCTCAGAGTCGCCTGGCTCCTAGCTCCTCTCAGCTGAGTGTTGTCGGATGAACCTGAATGCTAGAGCTGGTGTCCAGGGCTCGCGTCTAAAAGTTTGCTAGGAATGTTTCTACCCAGCTCTACCCTGTTCTAACAAATGGCATATTCCTATCTTTATTAGAGCACGGATTTCTAGACTGCATTTGCAGTAAAAGAGATATGCTCCATTTTTCTAGGAAGCGGCAGTCCAGTTCCTTTTTTGACTGTATTTGTCTTGTTTTTGTCTATAAGCCCTAAACCCTAAAACCTTCTGTCTTAATGCTGTCGTGGTTTACTGATTCCAAGTCCACCAATTAGAACTTGTGTTGCTCTTAGGCCCTAAATCGCACGCCTTTTTGAAGGCTAATATCTATGAACCAAGGAATCCTTTCTTACCTCTCTTATTCTCTAAAACTCTCTCTGTTATCATCCGACTACGACCCTTTACCCCTACACCCTCCCCTCAACTCTTAACCTTGTCCTATCCCCTTCCCCTCTTAACATCTTCAACCCCCTCTCCATTTAAAAATCAGTTGTGAACCTTGGATATCTGCTACAGCTCCTTGTCCTAGTATGTTTTGCTTGAATTTCCTCATAATCTCTTCTTCTTGCTCTGGTTGTTGCCGTGCTTGAATCCTGACCCTTTTCCACTGTGCTTTGAGATGTGTTTCAATAAGTGTGAGGAAACTCTCCCTAGCCCCCTGCCTATGCATTATTGTTCCCTCCATTGTGGCTTGACATCGACGCTTCCAAATGATCCAAAGCCCATATTGGCGTAACAACTGAAACATATGTTTCAGAAAGGGTTGCCATTGTTTGGGGACCCCTAGGCCTAGTAGTAGTGTGATCTTTGATTCCGGGAAGGTAATCCTTGTTATTTGGCCCCAAATCCCCTTCACTTCCTCCCACATCTCCAATGCTTTTGTGCACTCCAGTAAGCAATGCACCATTGTTTCTGGTATACCTTCTTGACATACAATACATAACTCACCCTCCATGCTTCCCTGCCTGCGGCTTCTTCTTTCATTGAGCCAGACATTCACAGGGAGAGCGACATGGGTTATCAGCCATTGCATACTCCTGACGCGACCTAACCTTATTGCCCCTATGCTTGCCCATGGAATTTTTGACAGTTGACCTCTGGGAACCCCCACTCTCTTCTCCCATTTCTTGAGCAAAGTCGGTGTCATGGAGTAAGACCGATTCCTCAGCCTATACACTATTCTCGTGGCATAATGCAGAATATTTATTTTTCTTGCCACTCGTGTTCGACCACTTCTAATGTTCCATGCCCATTCCACAGGGTCTACTTCCAATTCTTCGATTGGTACTGCCGAGTTGTAAATCGTGAAGACCTCTGTTTCTATCACCCTCACTTTCCGTAAATACTGTTTAAGGATGTGTAACGGCGTTTTGGACATCAAATCCAGTTGGGACGTGGTGTTGGAAGGATGACCTATGTTATACTTATCCGCTATTAGTCAGTCGGGTCTGGAGGTTTCCGTGCCCCATACTCTGAAGACCTCATTAGGTTCATTGTCATCTTCCCATGTGGCCCAGTCCCCAATACCCCATTGCTTACCTAACAGTAGCAGTTGTTTCCATGCTTGAGGTATGGCTCCCTGAACCAATCCCAGATTTTCATGTAGATTGTGACATCCTTTCAATTCTCCTTAGTTCTGTGGCTGTTTTCCTCCTCTTTTCCCTTTCATCCCAAAGGTGCTTGATCTGCCGTACTCCATGCTCCATCCCTCTTCCTCATCTCGTGTCTGACACTGACAGTGTCAACGGTTTTCATTGTTCGTCCTTAATGCTGCATTGCAGAATAACGGTTGCCTGAGAACTTCCTCCCTTGTTGTGGGTTCTTTAACTTTTGCGGGGAAGACTTTCTTCCATAACTTTACGAGTTGCACCCAATAAGAAGGACTCCGAGCTTCCTCCTCTTGCGTTGCATTATTCCCTTCCCTGGTGCTTACCTTTGCCCAATTTCCACACATGATCCAAAACTGGCCCGTCATATTGCTTGGCGTTTTGTACCTTGCTAATTGTCTGATCTTTTCCAGCACCAATGATGACCATGATAGCCGTGGTTGCGAAATTAGTTTTGTGACCCATTTAGTTTGGAGCGCTTTCAGCTGGGTGTCTGGATCCCCCGGCAAGTCAATATGAAGTACATTGGGGACTCACACACGCTCCTCCCCATTATGGCTGGGAGGCCCGAGTGGGGTGCTCGGATGGTTCAAAATGCCAGAACTTGAGCTTTTCGATGCTGGTGGCTTCATGCGGCTGTAGCAGATCCTGGGCCTCCTCACCGCGTGCCTGGGTATCTGCGTCTACTTCGGCCTGAAACCGTTGTTTTTCAGCTGCTGCCGACGCTTCAGCTTGTAGGCGGGCAGCCTTGGCTGCCCCCTGACGCTGTTCCTCAGCCTCGATCAGTGTGAGCTGAGCTTCGAACCGCTGTCGGTACTCGACAATGGACTTGTTGGCCAGTTGGTCTGGCATGCCCAGAACTGAGACCGTCATGGTGGCGGGGCACTGCTGACGTGGCACTGCTGACGTGGCACTGCTGACATGGCACTGCTGACGTGGTACTGCTGATGTGGCACTGCTGACGTGGCACTGTTGCTGATGTGGCATTGCTGATGTGGCATTGCTGCTGACATGGCACTGCTGACGTGGCACTGTACCAAACCGGGGATGCAGGCAAAGGGTTGGGTGGGAAGGAAAACG